CTAAAAGGATTATAGAATATCCTGTACGCAAGCAATAATTTCACAGGGGAAGACGGAAACGGATCTGAAAGCATAACCCTAACCTTGATGAAAGGTTTCCACTGTGATTTCCAGATGAAGAGGCGGGAACTTCTTGCTGACCTAAGCTAGCTACTTCTTCATTGAGTTTCTATCATGACAAAGCATTGATGTGAGAATAAGGAAGCCAGATCAGGAAACACAGAATGCTATAGTCATCAGATCAACTTTTGGGCACTGAAAACATATACTCACATCAATAGAAGGATTAAAGCTTTGAAAAGACATTCGACCTTTAAGAGCCCCTGGATGAGGATCTCCTTCAACTAAAACCACACTACACACATGAAAAAAAAAACATGGTTGGAGAAATAAAATATATAGAAGAGCTAGTTGACCAAAAAAAAAAGTAACTATCATGGCAATAAGAAGGGATTAGTTTTGAGATGAAATGATATCAGAATACAGACACAAACAAAGGGCTCTCGTTCTATCCTTAACTTTCTGTATGCAAGGTAGATACAAAAATAAGTTTCAGTAGAAAGTTAACGATTATTGCAGCACATTAATTTCATCCGAGACATACATTTCAGTCTATCCCATCCAGAAAAACAAAAGTCCAACAATAATGATAAAGAGTCACAAAAAAAAAACCAAAAATACATAATCCATCAAGGTTTCAAATGCATCGTCCGCTTTCAGGAAATCAAATGCTCCGGAGGAATAGCGCGTTAGATTTTCATATCGTTTGTTACATTGAACTAATGAAAAAAAAACAAACAAACAAACAAAAATCATAAACTATCAGAGAAGCCAGAGGAACAACCATAAATAAAAAGTAAGTAACAGAACAATTAAGAATACCGACAAGCCTACCACTTTTTGATTATAGAACTCGAAGGAAAGAAACTCTCATCAGGTTTTACTTCTTCTTCTTTGTTAGGTTGCTCCTCTCTCTGAGCCGCCCTTTGCATGAACTAATGACATTCAAGAAAATAATAATAACTCACATGACTTCATGGTTAACATTTTAAATCAGTTCTCCATTAGTTCAAAGCAAAAAACTGAAACAAAATGAAGAAATCTCAGATAAATTTTGGCAGTTCCCTGTGCCAATTAATCGAAAACACAGAAAGTTAAAGCCCTAACGGAGCATAAGAAGGCACTAAATCTGAAAAAAATTTCAGAAGCTTAGTTTACCTTTAAGTTTCTTAATGTATTAGAAAGCTCGCGCTTCGCCATATTAGGTAGCACAGAGGAAAGCTTGAACCAAGAACTTCACCCGCCGATTTCTATTCTGTGTCCCTTTCGCGTTCGCGGGCGCGCACAACCTCGAAACTCTCTGTATTCTGCGGGAGGGAATGAGGGTTTCCTCCAGGATCAATGTTCAATTTGTTGGTTACCCAACCCCGAGTTAGACACCAAATTACAGATATACCCCAGGTTTCAAATATCCATGGATGAAAATATCAACGTCTTAATTTAATGTCGATAGAAACACTATAAGATGTGGATGAATATTTTTTGAAAGGTTATAAAAATAAATGAAATTTGTAAAAAATATTTAAATTAACGAAGCATTTTACCATTTTTTTAAAATGTTAAAAAAAGATTAAAATTAATATTATACCTATCAGTGATATTTAGTTTTTTTTTAAGATATTAGTGAATTTTTTTTTTGAAATATTATATAATACATATATAGCTGAAATGCAATAAAAAAACATGTCTTTTTCAATTAGAAAATAATAATAATAAAATTAATTAACCTTATAAACTCGGTTGTCTAGATTGTAAAAGGCGTATTCAGGGGAGAGATCTTGCAAAGACAACCATTAATCTATCAAACTAAATTTATCAACTATTCAAATATTATATCAGTAAAAATAATTAAAATGCTATGGTTACAAAATCTGTCCATTTGCAAAAATGAAGAGAAAAATGGGAAAAAAATAACTTAATGTACACACTACTGCTTCCCAAGTTTATGTGGGTACGACTTGTGGTTCTAAGGGTGTAGAACCATCCTCCTCGCCTGCTTGAACTGGGGTTGCTGGCGTTTCAACACTTTTCTCATCCGACTCCACGAAACCTTGCTTGAATCTATCGTAATTCGTTAACTCGCTTGATTTAAATGGTCGCTCGCCCAGCACCCGAACCAAGTCTTCTTGGTGAAGAACTTCCTTTTCAAGCAACAACTCTGCAATTTGAGCCACTTGTTCTTTGTGTTCCTCTATCAGCTGCACTGTGCGTTCGTATGCCTTACCGACCCATTCTCGCACTTCCCCGTCGATTATTGCAGCAGTCTTGTTACTGTAAGGTTTGGACATCTCAAAGGCGTCCTCTCTTTGAGGAAAAGAGAGAAGCCCCACTTTATCACTAAAACCGTACACTGCTACTTGAGCATAGGTCATCTTTGTGACTTTTTCCAAGTCATTTTGAGCTCCAGTGGAGATTCTGCCTATTAAAACCTGCATCAAACAAAATTATCCTCCTCAACCAAATGAAACAAACATAAAGTTCGTCATTTATATATTGAACTCGATTTTGGAAGTCTGACAGAACCAAAAGAACTAGAATAGTATTAAATATAAAAGATTGAACAATACAATAACTCCCAAGCATTCGATCTATTTGGACCCTTCTCTCAGGTATTCTTACTCGAGCCTACATCCCCACAATTGTCTCACCATTTATAATCAATTATTCTTGAGTAATGACTAATATACTCTTAATACCCCAATACGAACTCCTAGAGGCAAAAACAACAAGCAGCTATCCGTACTAACACCCTTTGATTTAAGATTATTGGACATTCTACTAACGACAGGTAACAGAATCCCAACATGACAAGTTATTATTTATAGATGTGATAAAAGAGGTTCATAAGGCAGCCTTTGGATTTGATGATCTGTAATCTGTACCCTTTCAACCTCTTTTTTGTTTTTGAATGAAAATTAAGCCGTAAAATAAATCCTCAAACCCAACATAATTATTGGCTTTCAAACCCTATCGAACCCCTCTCCAACTCTCACATCACTGAAGCCAAACCCTTCCACATGAACTTATATGCCACATTTACAGATAACGAACTACAGTGGAATTATGTTATGGACTTACCAATGATAAAGATTTCAGTAAACTTCGGTCAAAAGATAGGGACAACACTACAAAGCTCATAAAGGCTACATATATTAAATTCGACTACACAAATACTGATAAAGATTACTATACCTGTTCAGCAGCACGACCACCAAGGGTCATACAAGTCATATCGAAAAGTTGCTCCTTGGTCATGAGAAGATTCTCATTGGGAACATACTGTGCAAACCCTAAAGCAGCCGTACCACGAGGAACAATTGTTACTTTTAACAAAGGTTCGGCGTGCTCCAAGAACCAGCCAGCAACAGCATGACCTGACTCGTGATAGGCAACGGTTCTGCGCTCCAACTTGCTAATCACCTGCTCAGAAAACAGGAATATTTAATGGTACAGAGTGGACAAAATTTACATTGGGTCAAATTCCTTTGACAACGTTATCCAGGAACATGCTAGAGCTTAATACTATCTTGATAGTAAAAAATGTTATTAAGATACTTTATGCGCGTGGTTTTGTCAAGATTATAGTTGCATTGTTCATCAATGTTTATTCTATTGTATTGGAATTTTGTTCTTATTTGATTTTTTTCCCTTTTTATCCTCACTTCCTTTGAGAGTTGTATCCTTGCATTTTCTTCCATTTCATTGAACATTTTGTTTCTTGTTAGCTTTCAGCATTTCCTATTTTAACAAGTTAACAATTAATAATACTACTACTGTGGCCTCTCCTCACAGCAGCCTAATAACAAATTAACGGCCAAGATGGCCACTGGATAAGAATACTAATTCATAAACCAGATATGTACACACTACAATGTCTACAAGATTAAAATCAGATGTCAAAAAAGGAGTTTCTAAACTAAAAACATTATTCACTGAGATTAGGTGTAAAGTTTATTGAATCATTAATCGACAATATCCATCAACCTTCTGAACTCAAGATACTAGGCCATTGGGATTTCAAATATGCACACCATATAATAGATACTGAAGATTTCAGGACGAGAAGAAAAGTAATTTCTTCTATTAAGCAATATTGCTTTTAAAAAATGTCTCCCCACCCCTAATCCATCTAGTGTTGGCCAAATTGAGAAGAGATGAAGGGCAAATTTTATAGTGACAGATGTTCATTAATTGCTTTGTTCTTCTTTTCCATAGAACCTATAACTCTAATAGCTGTAAATTATCAAGTGATGGATGTCGATTAGTTACCTTGTTCTTCTTTTCCAAACCACCTATAACTCTATCAATAGCTGCTTCAAAATCTTCCATCTTGACCTGCGTGCCCTCACTCCTTGCAGCAATCAATGCAGCTTCATTACAGACATTAGCAATGTCTGCTCCAGCAAATCCAGGGGTTAATGCTGCAAGCCTTTGTGAGTAATATGATGGCTCATGGTCAAGTTTAATCTTTTTTAAGTATATCTGAAAAATTTGCTCACGACCATTGATGTCGGGCTTGTCAATTGTAATTTGACGATCAAATCGACCAGGTCTTAATAAAGCTTTGTCTAAGATATCAGGTCTATTAGTTCCAGCAAGTACAACAACACCAGATGTGGTTCCAAAGCCATCCATCTCGACCAACAATTGATTTAGAGTACTTTCTCGCTCATCATTAGAGCCCGAGAAACCTCCACGTCCTCTTGCTCGACCAATTGCATCAATCTCGTCGATAAAAATTATACTAGGAGCACACTGCCTGGCTTCTTGAAACAAGTTTCTAACCCTTGATGGTCCAACACCAACAAACATCTCCATGAAATCTGAACCAGATATAGACAGGAAAGGCACACCTGATTCACCAGCAGTTGCTTTTGCCAGTAAGGTCTTTCCCGTGCCAGGAGGTCCAACCAAAAGTGCACCCTTTGGAATTTTAGCCCCCAATTCCTCATATTTTCTAGGATTCTTTAGGAAGTGCACGAACTCCATTATTTCTTGCTTTGCCTCGTCACAACCAGCAACGTCTTTGAAGTAGATCTGAAAAAGAATGGAAAAAGGTGGAAAATATGTGCATTAACACAACAGCGACATCGAGGAGGGAACCTTTGTAGATCCCCAAATTATTATAAGACAAATATTGTAGAAGAATATAACAAAGAAACATAACAAATATCTATACCTTATTCTTAGCATTCTTATCCACTTTAGTGATATGAGCTTTCCCTATATTAAATATTCCTCGACCACTCCTTCCACCACCCCCGCCCCCAACACCTAGTCCTCCTTGCATTCGGCGGCCCATATAAAAGAGGGTCCCCAAAAGCAAGAGTGTTGGTGCAAATCTGATCAATTCTTGATACCAGACCATTTCAGAGACATATGTAACTGGAATAAAATCATGTGGGTCAATATTCAATGCCTCTTGAGCTTCCTCTAACTTCTCCTCAAATGACTCAACACTTCCAATATTGAAGAAACATTTATATTGGCCCCCATTTCCTATTGTGGGAGCACCACTTGAAGAACCTTGGATGACTTCGCTTGTTTGATTGCTAGGGGAACTCCTCACAAATACTTTTGCAACTGATTTATTAGAAACAACGATATGGTCTACTAGGCCAGGTTCCAGATACTTGTTTTTAAACTCCTGGAAGCTAATCTGCAGAGACAAAAATTCCAGATGATTAACAGATCAAGATGCCACAGGTGAAAATATGCAAAACATCCCAAGGGGGAGGAAGGGGAAAGGATGAATAAGTGAATTACAGTTGGATAAGAGAGGGGGATGTTGGAACAAAAATAGATATAAAAAAACCACTTCCCTAGTATTCATAAACCCAAATATGATATCTAAAAAACTTTTACTAGAACTTTCATATCGGGTGCGATAGTATTTAAAAGGAAATATCAGATTTTTATTTTCTAGAAAACAACATCACCGCAATTAAATCAGTAAGGGATTAGATGGAAACTACTGTCCAAAACAAGTAATACCTGCTGTTGTTCACGAGGACCAAAAGAAAAGGAGGAAAGCAGAAGACCAATAACTACTAAAGGGGTGACTAAGTTCTGAAACTGCCTTATGAAGGTTTCCTGAAAATTCCCTTCATCCTCTGTATTTGAGTTACCTGAGATGAAAAAAACATAAAAATGGAACTTCTAAAACTTCCTGAATGAAATGCTTGAGCATAAAAGGTGGCAAATGCTGCATGCCAACGTCAACGAATTTGGTGTTGTTTCTACTTTCTTTGGCATTGTCCACAAACAAAAGCAATCAAAGATAGTAAAGTTCTTATACAAATTATTGATTGATTAACCAGCTACATGATACAAAAGTCAACTAACAAGCTGAGTTGCTCAATTAAAAATAAGCCGAGTACAATGGCCAAGGAAGCAATTGGTAGACCATTAGACAAACAGCGCTGAACAGTTTGGAGCAAATATCAAATACCAAAAATTGTTTACATTGATTTCAATATTTTAATCCTAGCTTTAACACCAGTTGCAAAAAAAGATGCAAGTATGTGGACAAGCTGAAGCCACAAAAATAATAAGAAGTAGACAAACAAAATGTGGCATAAGTAAACATAGGACTGAATAACTAACAAAGAGAAATTATTAAAACTGATGCCAGATAAAAAGAGTACCCAAAATAAATCATGCTTAAGCACAGATATAACTCTTCTGAATGCTGCTTACACGGTCCATCCAAGATCTAAATTATGAAATTTTGGTCAAGAACATGGCGAAGATACCATAGTACATGGAACAGACAACAAAAGTTGATCAGATCCTCAAAATAAAGTAATCCCCAAATTAAGACATCGGACATAGACCATACAGTCCTCTTAGTTTTTCCAGATCATAACTAACCTTTAATTAAAAAATACAAAACAAAACAAAAAACAAAAATGTTTTCAATCCAAAATCAGAAAAACAAATTTAAGAAAAAGTCCAGAAAATAGTCCTAATTGCAGCTAAGTAATAAAAGTTTTTACCTTTAGACTCAGATTTTTGCTCATTCCCTTTCGGAATTTCTTTCTTTTCTTTAGGATAGAAGTTCTCGTAGTCTGCAGAGTTGTAGCAACAAATTCACATTAGACCTAGAATTCACGCCACGATTGAAGAAAATGCATACACACATCAAGGCACCATTTCCTCAGCATTAAACACACTCGAGAAAGCAACAAAATAAAAATATTGAGCTACCACAAAAGCCACGAAAATGATTACGAAAGTCACCAGCTTTTTCAGAAGAAGGGTTTAAATTCCTTACTCTTCTTCTCCGGGGCTTCGCTCGAGAAGAAACGCCGGAGTTTCGGGTTCGCGATGATACAATTCAAGTCGGACAAACTAGCCTTGGGAATGAATTTGCTAGGCACCCCAACAAATGCAAAATAGCCTCTAAAAAACCCTAACAACCCATCTCTCTCTCCCAGGCAGGAATCGACCTGAGGCGCAGCCAAAATCTTCGGTTCATTGATGTTCTGAATCGCCGACCGTCCACCACCATACAAAAAATTCTACCATCCAGACGAAACACAAAAAAGAAAAATTACGAAACTTCCCCCATCCCCAGAGAAAATATCATCGAGAAAGAACAGAAAAAGAGATAGACCCACTTACTTGGGAGCGAGAAGAGCGCGGGAGAGAGCGGCTGAGCCTGGAAAATATCATAGCTCGAATAGCGGGAGTGGGATTTGAAGAAAAACGTCGAAAATCAAAGTGAGCAGCAGAATATCAATAGCAGGAACCCATTCCTCGGGATAAATGCAGAGCAAAGGGAGATGGAAGAATTGAAGAAATAGAAAGTCGAAATTGTAGGAATGGTTGTGATGATTTGATGAAATTGGCCGCTCGCTTGAATGCGGCTTGCGGAAAATGGAGGTCGGGTCGCCAATGAAGGGGATTCGGGGGGGCGAGAGAGATATTTTAGGAAACAGTATTTGGATTGAACTTTGGAGGAAGCATATGTCAAAGCAGCGCGTGAGCCGTCAGGTGATCGCTCCGTGGCGCTCCTTTTGGTTTCCTTGCCAAACAAGACACAAAGCCCACGGATTCGTTTTTCTTTCTTTTTTTTTTCCCTTTTAATTGAAACGATTGAAAACAAATTAAAATATTTAGTCCTCATGCGTTTGATTCGCAATTAGAAAACATAAATTTGGAGATTCAATGAAAAAAAATGGTTGTTTTTAATAATTTTATATGTATTTGGTATCGGATTTAATAAATTAAATCTCAATTTAAAAAATTTTGTAGAATAATTACTAACTAAATATTTAGTCTAATTTAAAATAAAAATAATTAATTTATTAACCTTTTTTGTATGATTATTATTTTACAACTACATAATTTATAATATATTATACTTTTCTTTCAAATTTAACAAAAAAAAAAATAAAATGAGTTTATAACATTAGATAATATATTTATTAAAACTTTTATCTAAGGATGTATCTTGAAACTTCAAATTTCAAAATTGTAAACACTAAAATATTAGAAACGTTGTTTTCATAATTTTTACTATTTTAATTACAAAATCAGTTTAAAATACAATTCTATTCATCCATACTAAATGTATATGAATCCATTTGATTTGGTAAATGTGGAAACAAATAATAAAGTCGCCAACAAATGACTCTTATAACTTCATATTATTTAACTATAAATATGTTTTTTTTTTCTTAACTGTTTTTTATTTGTTTGCTTTTATGGTACGGTAGGTTTATAGATAAATTATAAGTTAGGTTAATTTCAAAAGGATCTAACGAATTTATAATCAATGCAATTCTAAAAATTTAACGGTCAAATTCGCAATGAGTCTATCAAATTAATTGTACTATACGGACTGAAATGCCTCCTTTTAAAATATTGTCGTAACTTTCATCATTCAATTTATTTTTTACGTTTGTTTTACTGTACTTGAAAAAATTGAAAATTCTCGTTTGAAATTCTTTGACTTATATGGAGCTTTTAAAATGGGTAAAGTAGAGATCATTTTAACCAGTTGAGCAAAACAACATTTTTATCTTACTAAATACTTTATAAATGTACCCTATTATCGTCACATTCTTTACAACTTTCCATAAATATCCAAGAAGTCCTTGATGCCACTGTGACATTAAATGGGCCTGAAATTTCATGGATCTCGGCTTTGGTCAGGCTTCGGCCATTCGTTGGCCCATTTTAACTTGTTTCATTTTCTTTTATTTTGGGCTTTCGTTCATCGGCCCACGAAAAATTTGTTCAAACGGCGAAGTAAATACACAATTTGACCCATTTAATTATGTAAATAGTGTACTAAAAAAATTATGTAAATAGTGATGATAATTATAATTTCAAAACATAAATATCAAACCGAAAAATAACTTTATTCCTTCCCCGTTACTAATTAATTGACAAGAAGCAGTGAAATTAAAAAAAAAAAACCAGAGATTTCCAAAATTTAATATGTATTTTCAAAATTATCACAATTTTATTATTTTTTTTTCAAATATAACAAAACGATTACTTTATTTTATATTATATTTGAATTGAATTATACTTTGTCTTCCTTTTTTTTTTAAAAAAATTTCAAAGTCTTAGTCATATTTGAAAATACGTATTTATTTTATATTATTTTTGTAATGTCTCATAAATAAATTAAAAAAAGCATGGAAATTTATTCCTAAGTATATTAAGTTTACTTATCCCTTGAATTAGAACATGTTCGATTTTGATTTACCAAATGTTTAAAATCATAACTAATTTATAAAGTTAGATTATAAATTTATTTTGATCTACATCTTCAACATCAATAGTGGAACTCAACTAAAATCGATCTGAAGACTATCCATATCCATAAAAGAAACGAGTAGTGGAACAATAAAAGAAAAAACAAGAACAAACTAAGGAAAAGGAAAGCAATTATTAATGAGAAAATATTGTCAAAAGAACAATCACAGATACGTAAATAACATTAAAACAGAGTCGTATTACTTTTTTACCAAACAACTAAAACTAAATAAAACTCAGCGGACTGAAATGAAAATTTTTAAAATTCAAGGACCAAATATAAAATCGAAGTAACATTCTTTGGAAATGCAATAATGCAAAATTTTGAATAATGGAAAGTGATTTCCAACATCAGACAGGACTTTCAAAGGGTGTGGCTTTAGTAGACGTGTCTTTAGACATAGGCCACAAGATTGGCTGTCTAATTAATTAGCCACTTAATCATGATTACCATTCTTGATTAACCCTAAAGACACTTTTTTTTCCCAAAATTTCTTTTGATTATATCAATATCACCAACCAACCAAATATTCCATTTATTGGTTCCATTCATTGAATTATCTCTCTCTCCTCAATTTTAGCTATTGGCCATGTAGACAATGAAGAAATTTGAAAAATATTACTTTCAATTAGCATATGATAGTTCAACCATAAATAATTTATACATATATTTATGGTTTAAATACTAATTTGATCCGATATAAAAAAATTGTCAATTGTCGCATAGAAAAAAAATAATATAAAGTTAAACCATTGTAGTCATATCACCTTTTGTGTATAGGTGATATTAATTGAAGTTTTATTTCAATGATATTTTAGAATCATTTCTTAACTCAGGCTTTCGTACTAAGAATATCAAGAATTAATTTTAAATTTCGTAAATTGAAATCTGAGAAATAATTTTAAAATTTGAGCTTTTAACCTAATTAAAAATTAATTAAAATAAATTAATTTTTTTTGTTTTGATGTTAGTTGGAAAAGAAAATAAATTAAAATTTGAGCTTTTAACCTAATTAAAAATTATATGACAATATTAAATATGTAATTTACTTTGAAATTCCATGAAATCCTGCAAAATCTGACCATTTTGATCCGATTTTTTTTTTTTTACTTAAAGACAAGATTTGAAATCTTCGTTCAAAATACCAAACAATGTAATTCATTTGAAATCTGTTAAGATTTTCAAATCCATTGAAGTTCTACAGATCAAATAAAAATTGTATTTTAGCCTATAATTATTATACTTTAAATTTACATTTGCACAATATAAATAAATAAATATATATATATATATATATATATATATATAACGATAATTGACATATATCTCCAATGAAGAAGATGTGAGTTCGATCTCTCACCCCACATGTTGTACTAAAAAAATTGAGTTAGGACTCACAATTTTAACGGGTGGAATCAAAACATTGTAGAGTACATTCGACCCAATTTGCTTTGAAAAGGATTCCCTATTTGTGACCAATATGCTTTACACAAAAGTAGAAAATAAGATCAAAAGTTGGTGTGTTTGAGAATATGGTAGAAAGTGATATCCACAACAGTTTTCAATAATAAAGCTTATTACAAAAACCAATAACTTAATTCTCTTGGGGATCATCCTGAGATTTGATCCTAACCGTCCATCCATAATTTCCAGCTTTGACTTGGGGATCACACTCGAGTATTAAACATTTTTAAAGCCTTTTGTACGAAGTTCGGAGCGAGTCTAATGATTTATCGATGTGGGTTAACTTCACTTTTTAATTTTTATCAACAACAAAAAATATATTTTTTTCCTCTCAAAACCTTTACCCTTTTTCTTTAATAGGAGTCGCTATTTTCTCTAGGGTTATTGATAAATCTCCCTCATCCTTCTTTAGAATATATAAGCTCAATTTTTGCAACAAAGAAGAAGAAGCTTAAGGCTAAGGCCAAAGCCATAGCCATGGAGACATGATCGATGGTTCAGCCATTATTTGTTGGTGCAGCACCATCAAGATTCACAAGGTTTTTTTTTTTAATTAATAAAGNTCTGGTTTCCTTTGAGAATCTTGATGATGCTGCATCGCCAAATACATGGCTTTAAAACAAAACCCAGATTTTGGTTTGGAATTTAGAGGTCGTTTATGAGGATAATTAGGATTTTTGTTTTGTTTTAAATTATTGCGTTACTGAAAGATTTCCATCATGTTGTTATAATTTTGCAGGTGTTATTGGGCTGTACAACTGTTTAATTATTATCACGATTTAATTTTTTTTTGTTTTTTGTTTTTTGTTTTTTGGTACTTGTTTTTTCGACTGTTTCTGGACAAACATATAGAAAGAGCCTCTGAATGGACCACTCGTTTAGTACTATGTTACTACTACTGTTTTTTCTTTTTCCTTTTCTTTATTTTTTTTGCCCCCTCTCTTTGCATTCCTTTCTTGCTGTCCCAAAAATACCTGGCTACTGCCACAAAATCATCCTCTCACCTTGGAATATGTGCTTGAAAAATTCTGCAAAATTAAAATCGAACCCGTTTTCGCGTTGCATTGAATTTATTTTCGGGAAAGGTTAGGTTGAGTTTTTGGATTCATATCGATCGGTATGAATTGGTCAAACTTTTCATTTTTTGTGGGGGAGGGGATATCCCTTTTATCTCTAGGTTTTCTCTATTCAAATGGTGGTGGACTTGAAATCTGCCCTCTTATGATCTTGTGGTTGCAATTGAAAGGATTGCAGATATATGAAAATGAGCAATACCAACAAAATAGACAACAACAAAGGCGATTGTGAGTAAGACAAGACAATCTGGTGTGCATATGTTATATTAGCGCGATGTTATTCAAATAATGCATTTTGGTGTATATATATTGGTTAATTTGTGCTTAGAATTTTCAATTATAAAAGCCATATGTGTGATTAGGCTATGAAAGAAAAAAAAAACACTTATACATTTGTGATTTAACCCTCTTTTAGAAAAACCTAACCCTAATTAGGTGACATCATCTTTGGGTTCTCATTTCCAGTTTGTGAACTATGCAATACGGGAACAAAAGAGTCCTTAGGACTCTGTTTCTTGTTTCTTGTTTTTTTTTCTTGATAACGTTTTTTGTTTTTTGTTTCTAGTTAGAAGACAGTATTAATATTCATGGATTCTAATGAGAGAAATAACCCACTTATATTATAAACTCATGTTATCAGATCTCATTTTTAGATCG